GAGATGACTTTGAAAGCAAGATCTATATAGGGCTTCTTCTTTATTCAGCCACCTAAGTTGGACACATCTGTTGCAAGCTTCTTCATTTCTCCAGTGAAGTCTTGCGGCAAAGAAGAAGGAAGTCTTCTGAGAACATTACTTGTTTGTCCGTTCCCTCCTGCCATATGGTGATCCTACTCAATATGGCTTCCATTGACTTTTATTATCTAGAATAACAGCCCTAATTATATCTAGTTCTGTAAATATGAAAAATAGCTTCATTTTTCTCTTCTGTTTTCCACCAGCCAAGGGATCTGGAATTTGCATTTCCAGAAATGGAGACGTTGCAAGCATTTGCTTGTTTTCTCCCAGAAGGTCTAAATCACACCACCAGGCCGACCAACAACGTGGCTGCTGGAGCAAGACAATTGTGATCCTATGCATCAGTTTTGTCCTAAGGATGAAAAATTCAGTACATCATTTATGGGAGGCCATTTGTGCCTCTTAATGTCATTAAGCCGCTGGTAGCCAATTGAAGCTGCCATTTTTCCTCTTTTCTTCCAGACCAAAACCACCATAGCTGGCTATAGATTTGGTGAAGGCTGAATCCCTCCTTTTATCTGCTGAAATCATCACTAACATTATTTACAAATGAAATACTCTTTAAGTCTTTGCTTAAGAGGTTTCATACATTAACTACTGATTTTGTGTTGACTTAAAAATTGTTGACTTAGTCATTACAACGAAGCATATCAGATTATCGAAAACCGTTTCTCATACGTGCCTTCATTTGTTCACACGCTAAACCACAATGATTTAGTGGTAACGCAGCTGCTGTTTTCTGTAATCTAATTATTATCAGCCTCTATCTTTCTTCTAAATGACATTTGTTGAATGCTGACATTTATTGAACTCTCCAAGCCAAAATTATCTTGCTTAATAGATGCCATCGATTCAAATGTTTTGATTATTATCCCCTCATTTAGCATCTGCATCTCTGTCAATATATTTGTTCTAAAAATAATGTTACCTCCTTGCTCCTATTCATCACAGATTGTACCAGGAAAGTAAACTTGCTTTCTAACTGGGGTTCAGAAAAGCCACCTTGATTTTTCCAAAGTGCTTCCAAGAAGTAGACCTTCTCATTTGTGCTGGAACAACCATCTCTTTTACTCCTGGCTGGCACTGTTCGACTTCACATATTCCTATCCAGGAAGGACATACAGATGTCCTGCTTGAAGGTCTGGATTCACTTCATGTCATGGTGCAATTCTGTGAAAAATATTTGCTCCTTTTCAGATTTTCTGAATTTTTGTATATCTTTGGGACTAAATGTTATTAAAGCTTCAAGTGGGTTCTACTGATCTGCGAAAGGAAGTTGAATGAACAGGCAACACTGATGTGGGTACCTGTTTCATTTCAAAGTCATCCAACATCCAACGTGCCAGAGTGGAAAAAGCATTGCCCCATCAGATTATTGGTTGCAACAACTTTAGTTGCAATAACAGCTATCAAACGCTTCCTGTAACTGATGATAAATCACATCAGGAGAGTGCGGAATTGTAGTCTGTTCCTCCAGGGCTAATTACTTTGACTCAGCAACATTTGATTGCTTTCTAGCATGACCCGCTCCTTTCTGGTCTTGCCTCAGCATTTCTATTGGGCTTAGGTCTTGACTGTGACACGGTCATTCCAAAACACTGGATTTGTTCTTCTTCATCCCTTTTTTTGTAGACTTGCTTGGGATCATTTTTTGTTGGAGAACTCCATCTGCAGTTCACCTTTAGGCAATCCAGCAGTGTTTCTCAACCTTGGCATCTTGAAGATGTGTGGACATCAACTTCCAGAATTCCCCAGCCAGCATGGCTGGCTGGGGGATTCTGGGAGTTGAAGTCCACACATCTTCAAGATGCCAAGGTTGAGAAACACTGCTGGATTGCCTAAAGGTGATGTGTGGACATCAACTTCCAGAATTCCCCAGCCAGCATGGCTGGCTGGGGGATTCTGGGAGTTGAAGTCCACACATCTTCAAGATGCCAAGGTTGAGAAACACTGCTGGATTGCCTAAAGGTGATGTGTGGACATCAACTTCCAGAATTCCCCAGCCAGCATGGCTGGCTGGGGGATTCTGGGAGTTGAAGTCCACACATCTTCAAGATGCCAAGGTTGAGAAACACTGCAATACAGAGTTGGCAAAATAGTCTCTGGTAGAATTTTCTGATACAAACCAACATTCATGCTCCCTTCAGGGATGAAAAGTCATTCTAGGTCCTGAAACAACAAAGCATTCCCAATCCACGACACCAACATTTCTGTGGTTGACAGATGAGTTGAAGTTCCCAGTGAGGAATGCAGGGTTTGGTTGCTGAGGGTCTAGTGGAGCGGGACTGATTTGCACATCACTAAGAGAGAAGGTGCACAATGTCAGAGTTTGTATATGTTGTTAAGCTCAACAGAAAGTATTGTGTCAAACCTCCCTTTAGCTGACATCTATAATGTCCTGCAAGAATGAGGGTCCTTCCACTGACCTTGGCCGATTCCAAAAAGCTATAGAGGGTCAGGCCTGGTGAGTTCTTGAGTGGGAAACCAGCAGAGAACCCGAATTATAGTTGGCCAGAAGGCAGCCATGGGGAACCACTTCTATATCACTACTGAGAACTCCATGACTGCATCCAATTCTACAGAGTTTACCTTGAGAACCTAGAAAATATTTCATGCTGTAATGGTACCATTCCTACAACATTAATCCAGTCAAACAAAGACTGAACAGCTGTGTTTGTTCAATATGCTAAGCTGGCATGGTCTTAAACTTGGCCTGTTTTGGGGGTGGTTCAATGGGTTGGGTGGACTCAATCCATTTGGTGAGTTTGTGGTTCAATACATTGCGCAAACCCAGGAAATTCATTAACCAAGTTAAATGTATGGTGTGAATATCCAGCCAAACCCATCTCTTCCCCATGCCCTTTGGGGTCGTACTCCAACTCTTTTGGGGAGTACCCCAGGAAAGATCTGCTTCTTTCTCCATTGAAGAGAAATTGCCCAGGGTGGTAAAAACTGGTGATTGAGAGTGCATTAATTAAATAAATACAGGCACTTTGAACTGTGGGGGCTTTAAAATTCTTGTAGGATTTGTCTGACCGAATGGCAAAATGGCTTCTTGTCCTGCCTTCACATCAGCAACACAAGCACAATTGCTTTGAGGCAGACGAGGAGAAGAAAGGCTGATCTACGTTGCCGTGAACTTGGGAAGAAACTCTGAATCTAATTCTAACAGAATACACGCAGAGCCTTTGGGCCTCTTCTAGATCCCTTCCACGCTACTAACCACAGTTCTGAGTTTCTGATTCATCGTGGGGTGAGGGAGAAAGATGCAGGACAAATTACAGTTTTGGTACCAGGGGTGAAGGACTGCTTTTGCCCACCCAAATAAAATGGAGAAACATGGGAGAAGCATGTTTAAAATCGGGCCCGAAAGAGGGAATGTTGTGACTTCTTTTTAGGGACCTCAATTCTGGTCATTAACATGAAAGACCTCTTTTGCATGCACGTGCAAGAGGAGCAGAGCATCTTGTCCTCTGTGTATGTCCCTGACTCAGAGCTTCCTTTTGCTGCCCCCGTGACTTGACAGGATGATGTTAATTAAGAGGCAATAAACCCTTGTGGGTGATTGAACATCTGAAACACCTTAAACTAAGACGCCCATCCTTGTCTAGAGACACATCCTGGCCAAGGAGGAACTACCAATCTTGAGTGAACCCAGACCTTGAGGCCCATTTGGGCTTTGGCTTTGTCCCTTCTCCCTTCTCACGACATTGTAAATCACAAGAAGCCCAGATTCTAGATTTCTTTTCAAAGGTCTTAAAAAGTGCACACCAAGAAATCAATGATACCCTTACCTGCTTCAGAGAAAAATCAATAAACAACATCTCTTTGTTTACAAAGGGACTAAGTAATTTATGAAAATATAGCCAACTATCTACCCAATTTGCACACAGAACATCAATGTCCTAACGGAGTCCATTCCTGGTTTCTAATTTTTTCTAACAGCAGGGACAGGTTTTGACAAGGCGCTCCATTGTTTTCCTTGGCAGGTCTGGCGCAGTAAAAGTATTCAATTCCGCTGATTCTTTCTCAAAGCTTCTAAAGATCAGACAGATCTTGCAACAATCTTAAAGCCCCCGTGGTTCAACTTAACTGCAATATTTACCCCCATTTATGCACTGTCAATCACCAGCTTTCACAGGCAAAGTTTTGGTTTTGCACGCTACAATTTCCTCTTTTTTTTTTAATTGTCCTACGTCCAACTGCAGCATGTCTGTTTCTGCAGATTATCCCTGGTAATCACTCTCTTTTCTGCAATGGAAATGGCCTGAAAATTGCTCTTCGATAACCAGGGATGAGTTCGCCGGCGCCGCAGCACACAAAAGCTAGAATTGTGCAATTATCATTTGTAAAGAGAAACTGTTATCAAAGTAACTGCGGGAGACATCTCCAGGACTTCCGTTGGAGTTGGGGAAATTTGAAGCACATATTTCTCACACCAGAAATTTTCTTATAAACTCTCCTGAATAATTCATGAGGCGTGATTTAACAGCGCATTTAATTCCTGGCATCTGCTGCTTAGAAAACGGAATTCTCTTAAGGTACAGCCGTCTGGAAGCAAAGGGGCAACACAGAATTAAATTCTTAAATGTTCTTTGAATGCCATTCAAAACTTTCATAATACGGTGTGTGTTCCCTGCACTGAGCCAGTCCAACCAGCCCCCAGGACACTGGGGGAGCCCAACAGACGCACACTTCCGGTCCCTGTCTAATTCCCAACTACGCAGAAGGAAAACTGAATTTACCTCTCCGCCAGCATTTGCAGCTCAGGCATTTATGTCCCTGGAAAACGGGCGGGTTTGGTGAATTCATGCACTTTTTAAAGGGCTTACAATGGAAGATGGCCCAAAGGGAGAGCATTCTTTGAACACTGATGCAAATGAGTGGGTGATCTGGCTTGTGGTGCAAAACATCAGAAGTCATGAAACTGCTGCCTTTTAATAGAATGCATGAGTTGGAGAAGATACTGTCACACTCCTGATTTTTTGCTACCATAAACTGACCCAGGTCTCTTCCTCCAACACCTGCCTGGGAACATGGAGATTCTTCCTTCTGCCTCTGCCTTGTATAGAAGAGCGGGGGGTGGGGGGGTGTCCTTGCAATCCCTGTTCTTTTGATTTTCAAGGCAACCGTTCACCGGGCACCGTTCGCGAACTGAAGATTATGGGATAGAAATCGATCAACAACTCAACAAAAAGATTTATAGGCACCAGTGCGCTGAAAGATGGTGCGCTGTTGGGTGACCAGATTAAATTCAGACCAAAGACACAAGCGAGATTAGAGCTGGTCATTTTGTTGAAAATGGTTTCTTGCGACACCTGGAGAAGGAAAGACATAGAAGTCAGAACATATACAACACATCTAGCAAGGTACAATCGTGGATGTCAGGTGGAAAGGGTCAAAAAGTCAAGATGGTGACCATAACTGCGGATCGAAGTCCCATTCCTTTTAAATCTGCATGGCACACACAATGCACCAAAGCCCTTTGTGAATGCTAAAAAAAACATACTCTTTTTTTATAATTTACACCTTTTCCCAAACCAGTAAAGCTCATTTTTCTCTTGTGGCGCCAGATAAAATAAGAGAAAATGTAACTATTAAATCTACAGGAAGAACATGACATCCACAGAAAACTTTTGAGTGGCTTGGGACCAGAACTCCAGTAGAGTTACAGTAGGCAGGAATAATTCTGCTCTGGAAAATATATACATTTAAAGCTGTATTCTTTCAATATTGTTATATTATACTCTTAAACCACCTACATGCCATGGAAAGGAAATATGCTTATATTTATGGTGGAACCAGCCAAGTGATGAACTCTGGGGGAAGATGTTCTCTCTTAGTAAAATGATAGGTTAACAACCAGCCGGTAATGCAGAAATGGTCTTGCTATGGTTCGTACAGGAACGTTAGTACAAGAATACCGAAAGAGTTGCTAACATTTTTCTTCGTAGCGGTGAGAGGAACAGGGCTGCAGAACTTTATGGCACTAGAAGTTTGCAGGATGGCTCTAGCTGGAGAAGGAAGAAAGCTAGGAAGATCACACAGATCACAAAAGATTGCAGCTGGCATGTCTGACGAACAACGGTAGAGTTTTGTTAATTTTGCGCCTTCGCAGAACCTTTTTAGCCCCAGACTCTCCGGGTGGCCCTTGAAGAGAGAGATTGCCACGACGGAGTTGCTGAGTTGGAGAAGCGAAAACTCCCGGAAGGAGCCCGCATTCTGCTACATTTTTAATTGAAAACCCTTCCTTGGCTACTTGTTACTAAGAACTGTGATTTTGTTGTAAAGCAGTAACAACAACAATTCCACAGGGCTAGTTGACCCTAGGAAAAACATTTTCCCTTTCCTGAAAACTTCACGGAAGAGGAAAATTTCAATGGGTTTCTTCACTGCAAGGGGAAAATTGGAAAGGCGGCGTCTCTTTCCAACCAAACTGTGTTGCTTTTTGGCAACATTACGGGCGGCTTGCCCCTGCTCCCTTCCAGTGGTTTTCAACTTCCCCAGCTAGCCTGGAGCCCTGGTATTTTCTGGTGGTCTCCCATCCAAGTCTTAATTGGCCTGATCTTACTATTATCGATTCAATTTTTATCCTGCCTTTATTTCTGATCAACTCAAGAATATACCTAAAGTTCCCTCCTCCTATTTTCTCCACAACAACAACACTGTTGGGCTGAGAGAGAGGGACTGACCCAAAGTCACCTCACTGGCCTCCATGCCTAGAAGTCATGGTCTCCTGGTTTCTAAGCCAACACAAAGCCTCTCCTGCTTGAATGTGGAGATCAGCCAAGGGCTGAACCCTTTGAGGCCCAAAAGGACGCAATAAATTCTGAAAGAATATGATGCTACCTATTTTCATTCGAGCACAATTGGCTGCATGAACCAAATATACAATTCCAGTTTATGGTATGGATATTACAGGCATGAATAAACTTTCTCTCTTTCTTCTTTGTTCACAGGTACGAAGAAACCTACTAGAACAGGAACAGGATTTTGGTGATGGTAGAGGTAAGCAGCAGCTTTGACCTGAAAAACTTGAATGGTCTTGTCACAAATGGGCTTCAGAGGCTGAAGGAGTTAGGGAAAAAGCTTGGGCTGTCCGTCAAGCGGAACCTGCTAATCCATGTCCCTGGGCGGGAACATCTGAAGCCTGTGAGAAGCAAGGCCTAAAGAAATCAGGAGGAGGACGTTCCTCTCTCTGGTGGGCTTTTAAAAAGGGGAGGGGGAGACAGCTCCATTTTGCTTGCGTTTGTTTCCATCAGGGCTCTTTTCTGGGATGGGCTGAAGGCCAAGAAAGCAGAAGAAGAATGGGGGAGGAGGGAGGAGGGAGGAAGAGGAAGAGGAAGGAAGAGGAGGAGGAGGAGGAAGAAGAAGGAGAAGGAGGAGGAGGAGGAGGAGCAGCAGCTCCACTTTGTGAAATTTGGGATGGACCTTCATGAGAAACCCCTAATGACAGACTTTTTCTAGAAGAAAGAAAGCCTCCCAATGTGGAATCCCTTCAGGGAGCTCCAGCCTTGATGGGTTTATTTAGAAAACTTAAACGCTGCTCCGTCACTGAGTGAAATGCATCGCTTTGGAGTCTCTTGGTCAGGCTTTTATGCACATCCCTTGCAGGGTGTCCCCAAGCGGTGGGGTCCAAAAGAGTCAAGATGGCAGCCACAACCATGCGATAGAAGTATTGCCCCATTCTTACATGCATCAACACATGGGGAAAAAGTGTGTTGCTTTGAACAAGCGGTTATGGCTACTACCTTAACTTTTCGTACCCTCCACCCTGGACACCCTGACAGCTTCCACAGAATATTCTAGCATTGCCATCTCCTTAGCAGGTCTTTGGCCTCAACCTGTGGCCAGCCAGAGGATCACAAGGAGACCCCCTCCTTGAGTTGAATTGCACTGTCATTGCACAAACTACCCTTCTCCACACCCACTGGAGATCCTCCACATTGTCTCCCAGAATGTTTCCAATCACCTTGTCCTTCCTATATTTCACCTTCATGTCCCTCAGATGTTGAAGATGAAAAAGTCAAAGAAAAATCAGCAGGACCTGTGCAGGTAAAGGGCAACCACTGAAAACCAATTCTAGGTCCTTTGACCCAGGTGCAGATCTCATCTTGAATATGCTCTGTTGTTAGAAGTGCACCAAAACGCCTATTGCTGGAAGGAAAAGTTGCTTTGATCTAGGACGCAGAGGGGAGAAGTTGTAGCCAAAATAATACTAAAGGAGGTGAGAATTGTTCATAAAGCTTGTGGAGATGATGCTTAGCAGTGACAGAGGAAGGTAGGTGATAACATAACTTCAGTTATACCAGAAGCAGAGAAGAAGACAGGCCCACAGGACTTACAGCTTGCTCTGTTGAGTCTCATTAGAGGTTCATTTGTTGATTTATTTAAAAGGCGACGGTGCCCATAATGCAAAAGGGAAATGTCTAAACAAGTTATTTAAATCAAGAGAGATGAAACTAGAAGAAAATATAAATGCAGATACTAAAATGCTAGAGAAAGACTACAACACTAAAATACCAAACTGTTATGGTATTTTCTTTCTTAATGACTTGACTTCTTTGGAGTATTTTTATTCTGCTTTGTTAATTGTTAACGGTGACGTTTTAAGATGTTCATTATCTATAAGATTGTTTTACAAAACAATTTACTATTTTGGCATTTCAGCAGCTTAGTATTTTAGCACCCACACATATGTCTATCTTACATACGTAACAGTAGAGCAATGTTGAGGTTCATTTAATCCAAGGAGAAGACTTGTTTTTGTTGGGGGTTTTTTAAAGTAAAATTCCTGCTAGCTCTCGAGAAGTAACGGTTTAAATGCTGGAGTGTGTATTATTTCTGTCGTGACAATGTGCTAAAAACAACGGCTCACAGCAAGTCAGCCTTCTGCTCTAAGCTGTAAGATATTTGGAAAGTCCTACCACGCAGATGGTTGTCATCACATGGCCAAATTTCATTCCTATTTTACAATGTACAGTTTGGGAGAACTTGCGTGAGAGATGCTGGCTTTTTCAGCATCCTTTAAAATATCTGCCACGCATCCCGGACTTCAGTCCCCTAACAACACATGCTGGCTGGGGAATTCTGGGAGCTGAAGTCCACACATCTTAAAGTTGACAAGGTTGAGAAACACTGTCCTAATTCTTGAGCACTTTTCCAAACATAGACAACATTTTAGGCTGTGGGAAACGGCAGGAAGATGACCCCTGCCCACCAACTGAAGTTTCATAGCCTGATTCTCCTCCATAACAGGAACATAACCCTTGCACTGAAGTTGTAAAGAACGCAGCTTACAAATCGGAAGGAAGCTTCAACAAGTCTGCAAAAGAGGGTGATCAACGTTCTGTTTTTAGTGGATGGCTTAACGTTCCTTGTCCCCGCGTGGGGCCTTTCATTTCTTAGGAAGGGCAAGATTATACAATAGTTATCTTGATGGTTATTATTCTGCTCTAGTAATCCCTTTTCGGATTACTAAAAAGAGCAGCAGGACCATTCTGATTCCAGAGGCTCCTTGCAATGTTTAGAATACAAGTTCCATCTGGTACTGTCAGGCCATCGAGGTACTCCAGACAAGGAGGACCAACCATGAGTACTAATACTACCTTTGTTGTAAGGTTACAGTAAGAGAATCTTACAGGTCTGAAAGTACCTCTCCCCTCCCTTACTTTTCAAAACTAGGGAGGGTCTTTTGAGATGCCTTCTCCACCCCCATGCCTCCTTCTAACTTAAATTTCGTTTATCGGAACGTTGTCTAGGCTGCAGCTCTTCCTCCTGTCTCCCAAGGTCATTCCCACATATCATTACAGGTACCAGGGGTGTCCACAGGTTATGGTTGAAAAGGTCAAGATGGATGCAATGATGGTGTGATTGAAGCTGTGTTCATGATACACATGAAAAGCAGGTGGAGCGTCAATCACCCCCTCATGTCAACCACCTTGACTTTTTTGACCATACCCTGCGGACATGTCTTTGGTCTGGTACCAAAAGAATCAGTTAACAGGGAGCTTCAAAATTAAACAGCAACAAGGTTGGAGATTTAATTTGTACCCACCATATGGAGAAAACACATCAGAAACTTCAGCACAGCATAATTTTGCTCAGGAAGTCCACGTACAATTTCTTTGCATCTGGTCACTCGCAAGCTACTTTCCACACCTACAAGAAAACACAAGGGGTTAACTAATTCATTCACCACTTCTAGCTGAAATGTCCTGGATTGATGAAAGTCGAACATACTTCCTAATACAATTAGGTAAAAATAAACACTTCCTTCTGTTGAGTGTGATTCCTCCATGATACATCTATGTAATACCTGGTGCAACAGTAGGGAGGATGAAGTTGAAAAAGACAGGATCAGCAAAATCTGAAGACCTAAATGTCTAAGAAAGACAACTGAAAAATAAGGCACCCAATTCCATCACCCAATTGCTGAAGTTCCCACCAAGTGTTTCTGTACACACGTTCATTAACAGCTGAATACGCTCAGTTATTAGGAAACATGACGATTACAAAACCCAAAGGTTGCACAGTTGAAACCCCACCCCTTTTACACCCCATTATGCATTCAAAAATGGACAGGGCTAGGTGTGGCCACCATCTTGACTATTTTGACCTCCTGACACTCCTTGTCTGCAATCTTCTTATTCAATTACTAAATACCTCAACCCTGCTCACCATTTTTGAAATCAGTCAAGGTCGACTTGGTGCAGGCCCTATCAGAAAGTATAACAGGGAAGCCAGATGGTCCTCTTTCCCTCTTGTTCCTCCGGAAATTGTCCTTTTCTATTTTCTACCCAGTTCCTTTTGCCTAAATCTGGATGTAGAGCCCTAAATAGCACTTCAGCTGGACTTTCCACTTCTGGTATTCCAGCAAAGCCCTGCTCAGATAAGCAGGGAATGTTCCTATTTTCCTTGTGCTCCACACTCACATTGAGAACCTTCAGCCTTTCCCAAGTTATCACCTGCCCCACTCACAACACACAGAATCAGTTTCTCGCTTTTCTTCCTCTCCCAGCAGTCCCAGAATTCAAATCCCAGGTTTCTTCCTCCCACCATGGTAATAGAGTCGTTGCTGCTCTTTTTCCAGACGGAAACGTGGACGGCTCCTTCATCGTGTTTCCATGATGATCTTCTCTCTCTGGGGCTTTCTGCTTCCATCTTGCCAGCTTCAACCTCACACCCAACCTGAGTTCAGTCTTCCTTTTTTTTCAAGTTCCAGAAGATTTGAGTGAGGAGCAGGAACAGAGATGTCTGTGTGTCTTGGCCAATCAAATCTTGTACACTTTGCCCAGGTCTCATGGGACTCAAAGCAAGCTTGCAATAAATATCCTGAAAATCTGATGTTAAAGTGAAAGCAAGTTTCCAGCCCACACGCCTAGAGACCATACATGATGACACGTTCATCTCCTCTGCAGAGATCCATGACTCTGAGAACTGTCTAGCTTCACCACGTTTGGCTGCAACAGAAAATACACGGCTAACAATAGAAAGTACAGATGAGTCAAAGCCATATATTTGAGGAATGTGACTCACTAGTGATTTGAACAATCTGATCATACATCAAGAAGGTCAGTAAAGGTTCAGGAAGTTCTCGGAGTAAAGCCTTCAGGATTGCAGCAGGGATGTGGATATCTCCATATTCATCAAAATCAACAGGTTTTCCTACAACAGAAAATGCCAAAGGATACATACAAGGAAATTTAAATCAGAGGGTTAATTCAAACACGCAAGTATGATTCTGGCAAACTTTTTGTACCCAGGTGTGATTCAGGCTACATTTCCCCCACCCACCTACCTACCTACTTCAGAACCTCAAGACCCTTCTTGCTACAGCTATAATTCGAAGCATCATGTCCATATTTACAGTGGCTTTAAGCTGGTTCAGATGCAAATCTTTTCCACTCAGAGAGTTTGTGAAGAACATTATCAAAAGCTATATTTATTTTTTCAAAGCCATTTGATTTTATATCAGATACAAGATAGAGAAACATATTCTTTTTTCCTTATTGTAGTGACAGTGGTGTTATTACCTAGCAGCGAGATATTTGCATTATAAAAACATTTCATAAAGTGACTCTGGTACATTTCACCAATGATTTCTTTTAACATCATATCCACGAGAAAAAGCAATCTGAAAAACAGAGGCGGCGATGTTGCTGTTCAGAGAAAATCAAGCTATACGGGACTCCAAATTTGTCATTTAATAGCTGTTACGAAATTCATCAATATATTCTGGTCACGACTCGTTGTTCAAACTGGTTCCAATGCTGGCCCTTGCTTCTCCCTCCTTGACTTAAGGTTGAGATAGTGTCTTCCCAATCGCTTCATCGCTTAGCGCTGAGTGGGGACCAATTTGAACCGGTCAGATTAAAAAGGAGGATCTTCCCTGTATATATTTTGAGGCAACTGCATTTCTCATATATTAACTAACTGCGGCGATCGGGAGGAGCCGGGATATCTTTTTCTCATAAAAATGAATGGTGGCATTTGTTTAATAAATCATGCAATATCTAATCTTTTCCTTCAATGTTGCGAGAGACCCGTAACGTGCACCTGACAGATTAAAAGGCTGGTGTTCATTAGGGACTGCAATAATTAAATCAAGGAGACCGCCTGCACTGAGAAGGCAGAAAGTGTCCCCAGGTGGACAGTGCCCAAAAGCAGGGGCCGGTTGCATTTTTGATGCTCTGGGTAGGTTCTCAGAAGGCAAAACGTTTCCCCTTATGCTTTGCAGACGCCACCTTGACTTTTTAAAGCCCCGTCTCGCAGAGGCACCTGCCCAGGGGTGCACACATTTTCCATGCTGAACGTTTGGCCTGTTCCCCACCTGCTCGCAGATGCCCTGACCCCTGGCTTGGCTAGAGTGGCATTTCAGGCTGTAAAGGAGTTTGTGAGAGATCCACCAAGGAATGGAAATGGGTTTGGGTGTGCCTGCTGGCTCCTTGCTTTTTCACTTCTCGCTAACCGAAGGGGCGCTTACCTTGATTATAAAGTTTCCGAATCTCTTGAATACTTTGGGTGCCAGCTGATCTTCGAAACAGCCCTTCTGTTTTAAGCCCTGCAAAAAGAGAAGAATTAAAATGACTTTTTGCCACTCTCTCCCATCTGAGCTTCCAAATTAAATACTCAGCATGCCTGTGAATACAGGTGTCGTTTTCCAGCACTGGCTCCTATTAGCAAATTGATTCCCTTTCAGGGGCTCCTTCTACGGACTTTGCTGCCAGGAATCAGAGAGAAGTCATTTCTCTCCCCTCTGCTGCATCGCTGAGTGTCTGCAGGCAAGGTCTGATCGCTACGTGCCAGTTCTCTTGCATGGCAAAAGCATTTATGCAGAGAAGTTGACTCAAGCAAGCCAGGCATCGGCAGAAATATAAGCTCCAATTTGCATCTCCTATTTTATGAGCTGGAAAAAGCTGAAAATTGGTCTATCGCTTTGCCCGGTTGTGGGAGACGCTGCGTGCGGGGAAGAAGCTGAGGCTTCAGAGAGTGGGACAGCCATTGGCCACAACTTTACAGGTTAGAGCAAGGTTTCCCAACCTTGGCACTTGAAGATGGGTGGATTCCAACTCCCAGAATGCCCAGCCAGCATGTCCATAATTTGAGGTTATTCTAGACATCAAAGCACATTCCCATGGTTTGATTAACTATTCTTCCCTAGAGGGATCAGGGATCTTTTCCAATAAAAAGGCATATAAGATTTTTGCAGCTGTTATCATATATCAAGCCAGTTCAGTAAGTTTGGGAAGAATGTGTGGTTGGTCTCAGGTTGAAGCGATATGATGTCTTTCGAAATGTGTTCCGGTCTATGATGAATTTCCAATATTATTGAGCTTTGCAGCACGGCCACCACTTATGGAGGAAAGATCCCATTTGTTCGTTGCATCTCCAGCATTTTGGGGGAAAGGAGCAGCTCATTTTAGCAATCATGACTGGAGTAATATACCAGTGATAAAACATCTTACACCAGTTCTTTCTAAGTACGATGATCAAAGTAAATTTATTATTCTTTTCCCATTGAAATTCCTATTGTTCCATCTCTATTCAGATTTTGCATCCATTTAATCATATAATCTTCGATCTGTTCAGGTTCTGAATCGCATTTCACTAATAGAGTGTATGATGTACTCAATCAATATTCAGTAATACGAGTTAAAAGATTATCAAATCCAGTCTAATTTCTCAGCGTTCCCCCTTGTTTCTGCAATTCTTTTGTTGCTGTGTTACTTATTTGAGAATATTGGAACCAACCGAGTGCGGAAGAGCACTGCGTAATAAAAGACTCAAGAGACCTTAATTTTGTCTTGTTCGTAATAAAGCCTTGTAATCTAAACAGAATTGTCTCCATTGATCAAATTTCTTAGCGTTTCTTCATCATAAAAGTAGATATTTAGTAGGGAAGCAAGAGGGGAGAAGTCTAGACTTATTATTTTCCTATATTTATCTCAAACTTTCAGTGAGTTGCCTAATTTTAGATAGTCTCTTGAAAATTGTTCATTTCTGTGTATCATCTCAAACAGGTCACCTGTATGTACCCTCTGGAAGAGCTGCCCCTTCTGTTAAGGTGATGGAACCCAAAGGAGATATAATCCCTTCCGAAATTGATGTTGGGCAACTGGCATGAAAGTACAATTTGACATTCAGAGCCATTAGGTCACCTCATTCCTTTGAATCTTGCAAGTTCTTGAATTTAATTCTTGGTCTTTTGTCTACATAATTCATTACTTGTCTATGCCAGCTGCTTAATACATTATTCTTAGAGGTACTGGAATAATTCAAAATTAAAAAAAAATAGTTTAAGTAAAATATTTATTTTGACTGCTGCAACTCTTCCTTAACCAAGGCAAATTTAATTTCTTCCATCTCAAAATATCTGTCATTATATTTTTCCAGGTTCTCCTCCTGGGACCCATTGAGCAACATTCTTTAATTGACGGGGTCCATAACATACCTCCCCTACCTGCCCAGGTGGGACAGGTTGATTATTCTCTTAGCAAGAATTGCTATGAAGAGTTTATAATCCACATTCAATTATGATATAAGCCTGTATGCTTCAGGATGAGTTGAATCCTTCCTTCTTTATAAATCAAGGAAATGAAAGCCTTTTTCCATGATATTCTTCATGTATCTGAATCTCTTTCATTACTTTCATTCAGAATTTCTTGAAAATTCTTGTAATGTATTGCAAAAATATCATTGGGTCCTGCATTTTATTCAGCTTTAATGGCTTCTTTGGTTTCATCTTGTGTTAAGGGTTTGATTAAGACCTTCTTTTTCTTGGCCAGTAAATTTTTAAAGTAATATTCCATTCAAATATTCCTCCATTTTTGCTGAATCAGATTGCATTTTGCAATATAATTTCAAAAAAAATAATTGGTGAATTGGTGAGTAACATCTATCACTGTAGAGACATATTTGGTTCCAACCCAAATAGAAATTATAATTCTTTTATTCTGTTCCTTCTGTAATGGATAAGCTAACAATTTGTCTGGTTTATTACCTTTTTCAAATTATAAGAGTCAACTTGTTATAAGCTTTTAAGTTTAATCAGTGTTGTTTACTTTCAGTAAATCAAACTAATTCTGTATTACTTTTATCTTTTGTTCTAAATCTGAGGCTGAATTCAGTTTATGACTTGTTTGAGATCATTCAGTAAACTAGAGTTGCTGGGAGTCCGGTGCCTTATAAATTTAAATCATCATCATCATCATCAACATCATCATCATCATCATCATCTCTCTGCATTTGCACAACTTTCCTTCTATTTGAAGCAGAGAGATGAACCACCCACTCAAAAATGCTCCTGTACTATAGTTAAAGAAGTTTCAGAAGTTAAATGAATCTGGAAGAAACTCTTCAATTCTTGTTGACATTTCCATTTAATCTCATCTTGCAATAATAACAGTTCATTAAGTCTCCACCTGTTCAATCTAGGAATTTCTCTATTCAATCTTACAATTATTTGATTATGATCTGTGTACATCAAATAATTGTAAGACTGAATTGTGTAATCTTCTATATCAAGAAGATTCGTCAACAATGAATTAGAGATCCAACACCTATCTATTCTCAAATAAGATCTGTTGGCTGAAGAATAGTAAGTCTATTTCCTGTCTGCAGGGTATTTATAACTCCACACATCCGAGAGAGATAACAATGTCATATCATCTAGAACATTTTGAGGAAGTGTGCAAATATTTCTTTTTGATAGGACTGACATACCCAGAAAACTCCATTCATATTCCCAAGTATTAAAACGTCGCCGTCTGCAGTTTCAAGTAGGAGTTGAAAAAAACATCCATAACTTCTTTTCCTTATTGGTGTTTGGAACATACATTGAGGCAATCATTGCCTTATCAAATTCAGCTTGAAAGTAGAGTATTATCAATCTGCCTTCCTCAACCCTGATTTGTTTCTCCTTGTGGGTTTTTCACATTTATAGTTGCTCCATTTTTCCCCATCAGTACACACTTTTAATAAAAGTTGTTGACAAAGGTGCGACCAGACTCCTACATTTTTGCCACCATAGACTAACCGGGCTGTCTTCCTAAAAAATCCTATAGAAGTCTGACAAACTATGATTGCTATTCAATGCTGGTTTGCCCTCTTCCTCATCCCTTCCACTAAGGTGCATGTTCAGTGATGGCCCCAGGCAGTCTTCCACGGGCTCTGCCACCTCTGAACACGCCTGCAGGGCCACACCCGTGCATCCCGTTTGCCCGTGCAAGACTTCCAACTCACAAAGAGGCCTCTAAACTGGGTCTCTCTATGAGCCGTTAATTTTACACTTTTGAAATCCTAGGTATCTTTCAAAAGGTAAAGTCTTCCTTGAGCTGTACTCGTGAAGCTTTCTTAGTAGTGGCGTTGAAGTGATTTGCCACTACAGCGCTGGGGTACCTGCTTAATAACTGGAAGTCTCCCATACAAATATTAGCCAGGCTTGATCTTGCTTAGCTTTCCGAACAGGTGAAGTGTACACCATACAGTACTTAAAATAAAGCAGCAACAGTACGTTGAATTTAAAAAGTCTCTAAGGAGCAAAATCAGTTATAAATCAATTAATTAAATGTCAATTTTAATTGTTTAATTGAATTGATTAAAGCATCTGATGCTGAAAGGATAAAGAGGTCAGCAACGGATGGATGCCCCGGGAGGGGGGCACTCCAGAGATTGGGAGCCACCCCCCAAAGCCACAGGAGGATGTTTCTGTCCTGGCTTCAGCAAAGGGAGAAAATGCCCGTGCAACTGGCAGGCAAAATGTGGGCGCCCTGCGGGCACTTGGGGATGAGGCTGGCAGAGGTGCCGGGTGGGCAAACACACGCTGTGGAGGGAGCTTGGTCAAAACGGCGGAAGGAGGGGGAGACGGTGGGAGGCAGGCGGAGAGTTGCAGCAGGGGAGCGTTTGCAGCGAGGCTCGTGAAAGCCTCAGGAAGGCTGGTCTGGAGAGATGGCAGCCGACAGGTAGCGGGGAGGCAACCAGAGAGGAGTGGGGAACAGGAGGAAGAGCGTGCGGGCGCAGGGCAGCTCCCTGGAGGCTGGGGAGAAGGCGTAATCCGAGTCAGACCGCCTGGAATCAGACACTCACAAGGTCTTGAAAAAGACCGAGGCAGGAGCCGTCAAGAGCAAGAATACCCGAAGCACAAAGCCAGATGTCACGCTCCTTCCAGCAACGGTCCCTGCGCAGTTTAAACCCTCTCCCCACCACCACGGCTTCCCTTGCTCAGCGGTTGCCAATGGGGGGCACCAGGCTTGCTTGCCTGCGAGGCGCTGACTAGGATGGGGTGCAGGACTCTCAGGCCCCAAGCGGTCGCCCTGCTTCTTGGCACCCGTGTTGGCTAAAGCAGGATCAGTGCTGGCCGAGGAGGGGCCCGAGAGGGTGCCAGGGTGGCTGCGGAATCAGTGGGTGAGGCGGCCGGTGGGACCTGATCCGCCCACGTCTTGGAGCCTGGCTCTGAGGCCATGGCAAGGATGCTTTCAGACGGGTGATGCTCCACGCACTGCTTTGGGTCATGCCGAGAACTGCGTCACTGCTGGCCTTGAATATTTGCACGGACTATGCCCATACGGCTATCCAACGGTTGACTTCGTTCCAACGGTGACCCGAGTCTGTCGCTCTGTCGTCCTGCCTTGGCCGCCAGCTCAAATGCAGGTTGTCAGCAGACGGAAGAGCTCCTTCCCAGTGCAGGGAAGCGTGGAGCAGAATTTGAGGGGTCAGGTTAGAAACCCCCAACCCCAATACACCTTCCCAGAGAAAACAAGGCTCAGTTCGATGGTGTCTGTAGGGAGCCAGGGAGATGGGCCTGAAGCAAATAGCCCGTTCCAATAAAGTGTCGCTCTGGTCTCCCTTCTGAAAGTGTCACATTAGACAACCACCCCACCACAAAGAACTTTCTCTCAGAGAAACTACACTACCCACCCTTCTTTGGGTCTGTCTTTGCCTCCAGCACTCTCAATTTGTATTTGGATATAATTGTGACCTGGTCTCCAGTTCAAATGCACCCCTGGGAAGATTCTCCTATCGTACAGCAGCTCCCGGATGAATTAGGAAAGGGCCCTGCTTAGCCACTGATCTCATCGTTCAGACCATGGGAAAAAGATGAACTCAGTGTGTGCTCATCATTACTTAGTTTTATGTCAGATTCAGACCCCCCACCCTTTTTTTTCCTTCCAGGCACTCAGGACGTACATAGGAATCTCTCTTTATTTTTCCAGACAGCAACAACAGTGGGAGGAAGGGCTGGACTAACATCGCCAAGTCAGTTTCCATGGCTGGAAGAGACCTGGGTCACCTTCACTTTTCTCCGTGCTGGTTCTGAACACCTGCGAAATGGTTTTCACGTTCTAGCTAAAGCGACATTTGCAATTCCTTGCTTTAAAACCGAAGTGAATCCTTACCTCTTTTTTTCAAGTAAGCCACTGTGTGATTCATTACAGGTGGGATTAACTCGCCTTTGTTTTTAGCACGGAGGCTGTTGGAGAAAAGAAAACGGGTTGAAATACGATCTGGACAAAAATCACAGCATTATAAAAGATGTCTTGCTTCTAATCTCTTAACCTGCCTTTCATTAAGAAAGAAAGGAAGGAAATATAAGGGTCTCATTAAAAAGGGGCGGGGTTTTGATTTTGACGCCGTGCCTACCACCTTGCAGATTTTGACAGACACCCGGGCATCGCGAACAATTTTATTTGATAGAAGGTTGTTACTTGGAACATCCAGCGTGAAAAAAATCAGTCTCGGGGCTCATTCAGTTTAGCCTCAGAAGAATTCCTTAACGGGGTAAAAAAGAAACATGCATCTTTGTGGAAAGAGTTTTTGAACCGTGTTCAAAGACATGTTATGATTTCTCAGAAGGTCCTCTTCGGCAAGGAGATGCAATGCTCATAAGCACGTTTTCAGAAAAGTGTCCTGTTTGCAAGGACTTGGATTTGATTCCAAAAAATGGCTTTGGAGCAAACACAGCTCCTGTGTTTTGCTTTAAACACAGTGTTTAAAGTGTTTTGCAGCTTTTTAAAGCGGTTGCACCATTTCCTGACATCTCCAAAGCATGTCCTTCCTTCCTTCCTTCCTTCCTTCCTTCCTTCCTTCCTTCCTTCCTTCCTTCCTTCCTTCCTTCCTTC